GTCCTCACGTGTGATTTTCTCATCTTTTGCATTGTCCACATTGTGTATGCACACGATTGTGCCTTAATAAAAAGGTGATTGCACGCATTTTATTGTTGTTTGTTTCAAGTGGAGTTGGCTGTTCCTTTAACTTGCCTCTGTAACTCAATTTCGTCGTCTGCGCTCTTTTCATTCATTAATCGCATTGTTGCTTGTTGGAATGCTGTGCGTTGATGTTAGAATTGAGGCGACGAATGTGATGGTTTTCATGCACCCGTCTCTCAGTTCCATTTGACCTGAATTCGTCTTCCTCACCTCCACCCCTCGTCTACATTTTTCGTGTTGTTATGTTTTATTTGCCTAAGTACGAGCCGAAATTGCATGAGAGGGTGCCTTTCTTGGGGTGGTAAATGTTAGCTTCACGTTTTTGTTTTGAGTGTGTGTGATTACTCTTGTACCGCTTTTGTGCGAGGAAGGGAGAGAGTGTGTCAAAATGACCGAATAGAGGTTAACAAAGTGAGTGGGTGTTGATGAATTATTTGGCATTCGTCCAGGCTGTCTGTAGCCTCAATCCCTGGACTCTCTACCCCTCCTCGCCTTCTGTTTGTCCGAATTGTGTCCGTGAACGCACAGTTGTCTCCTCAACATCCTTGACATATCAGGGCGAAAATGCCTGCAAGAGGCATGATTTGTTGCATTGAAAGGCGAGCAGTTGAGCGAATGTTAGCAGCAGTCGTAAGAAATAGCTCCAGGATTACGTCTGTAGTAAGGGGATAATTTGTGTAACCCTCCGTGTTGGTAGCAAGCTACTTTGGGGATGCATCATTGTGTCTCTGCTAGGTGGCGTGGCCTCCGGGCCATACCGGTAGCCCCAATCCCTTCTGTAGGTCGACAACGCATCATTCCGCCTTGGTATTTTGTTTTCTTTTGTCTTCAAGGCAGTATCGGGGGAATGTAATGATGGGGGACAAGTGTCGCGATTTGTGCTGGCGGGTAATAAAATTTAGGGCGGCGGAGGGGTACACATGTTACGGATGCGAGAATACGTAACGACATCTAACAGAAGGTGTGGAAATGACGTCTGCAGTCGGCAACCGCCCCTGTCTCATGATCTACTGAAAGGGTATTAACAGCGGAAGCAACACTAACCGTAGAGCATCTGGAAAAGTTAGTTATTGAGCTGTCTACCCTACTTGTATGAAGATATTAATTATGTGAAGACGCGATGTCTCCTCCATTTCACTATTGGCTGGGTAGAAGCGAAAGAGATGTGGCTGGGCAGCAGTGAAGTGAGAAATAAAGATGCGAATAGTGGTGGGCACAGAAATGCCTCCACGGAACTATGTTAAACCCCATCCTTTCTACTGTGACTCTGCTTCTAGGATAGCGTTCCTACCACTGGCAATGGGACACGCCTGATAGCCAGCACGTTCTCTCGTCCTCCAATCTATTTTCCACACAGTTCAGTGACGTTGCATTAAGTGTCATCCCGGATGCATGGAAATTGGATGAGTGGCACGGCTGGCCTGTGGGTGTTTCCCCATGATACCAATTACATTGTGACGGTCGACACGCCAAATTGAGCAAGGGGAGTGCATTGACGACGCTCTGAGGGGCAGGGGCTTACGTGAGACGCTAATTATTGGTTTAACTCTCGATTGTGGTAACGGGTCACTTGGGACCTCCGTTATTGGGCCTGCACTGGGTGGCCTGATATCTGAGCCACGCCAGTAGCCCCATTCACCTCAGTAGGCGCACAATGCATCATTCTGTCCGAGTATCATACCTTCTTTCGACTCCATGGAAGTCTGAGGGTGCCACACTTCTTCACCTTGTTTGGCGGTTGTTGCAAAATTCCCGACCCATTACATCTAAATGACCCTGTT